TTATTTATTTTGAGAAAGACAGAGACAGCATGAGTGAGGGAGGGACAGAGAGAGAGGGAGAGAGAGAATCTCAAGCAGGCTCCGCACTGTCAACACGGAGCTCAATGTGGGGCTCAAACCCATGAACCGTAGATCATGACCTGAGCTGAAGTCAGATGCTTAACCGACTAAGCCACCCCAGTGCCCCTATCCTCCCTAATTTAAACATGTAAGTCTACTTTCTTGACACCCTTTTTTTAAAAAAAATCAAATTTTAGAGAAGAAAAATAAGGCAAATATCTGTTGCTACATAATAAGCCAGTCTAAAATTTAGTGACTTGAAACAATTTATTTTCTTGTATAATCCTGTGGTATATCTCAGCAGTTCCTCTGCTGGTTTCACTTTGGCTCCCTTGTGTACATTTGGCAAAAGTGGAAGATTCAAGTTGGCCTAACTCAAACATCTGTCAGTTGGTACTCATTTTTGACTTGGGGGAACTTAACTCAGTTATCTGTCATGTGTCTTCTTCAGGTGGCTAGACTAAGACGCTAGTCTCAGAAAGAGTCATGGAAGAAACTGTAATACCTCTTGAAGCCTTAGCTCCAGAGTTCATATAGTATGACATAATATATGGATCAAAGCACAACATAGGGCCAGGCCAGAATTAAACTATAGGGAACTAGACCCTCCATTCTGGACTGAAGGAACTAAAAAAATTGGTGATCATATTTAATTCATCACAATGTTGTGAAACATAGGAAGCTATTTATTATTAAAAAATTTCTCTTTGCTGAGGCACCTGGGTGGCTCAGTCAGTTAAGTGTCCAACTTTGGCTCAGGTCATGATCTCGCTGCTTGTGGATTTGAGCCCCGCATCCGGCTTTGTGCTGACAGCTCAGAGCCTGGAGCCTGCTTCAGATTCTGTGTCTTCCCTCTCTCTGTCCCTCCCCTACCCATGCTTTTTTTTTTTTTTCTCTCTCTCTCTCTCTGTCTCAAAAATAAACAAACATTAAAAAAAAATTTAAAAATTCTATTTGCTTTTTTTGGAAACTTCCATAATCTTAGACTTTATTGGGTTATACATTTATAGAGAATGAAAAAATAAAACCAAATTTGTCAGGCAATAGCTGACATTTTTATACCTATCATCAGGTCACAAACACTAATGCCTCCAATGAAGCTACAAAGATAATAAACATAATTGAAATGGGGCAGGGAGAGATTGAAGTCATCTGGAATATACAAGCTCTGTCTAAAAAGGTAATAGCAATTATTTTGTGGCAATATGAGCCCAGTGATGCCTGAACTATTGATATTTTAAGATAAAGACAAAATTGCAGTGAGTTAAAGTTATTTTGTGTATCTCAATAAATTGATTCAAAAGTTTTTATGGAAAACAGGAGACATAGAATAGTGACAACAATACTGAAGAAGAAAGTCTGAGGATGCACACTGTTTGACATCAGACTCATTGTAAAGGTACAATAGTCAAGATGGTGTGATATTGGCCAAATAACAGGCAAACAGATCAATAGAACAAAACAGAGCACCCAGAAATAGACCCACATAAAGTCAACTGATCTTTCACAAAGGTACAAAATCAAGCCAATGGAGAAAGGATAGTCTTTTCAACAAATGGTTCTGGAACAATTGGATATTCATATGCAAAACAAAATGAAACAAAACCTCTAGGCCCAGACCTTATTATACATTTTTGCAAAAAATTAACTCAAAACAGATCATAGACCTACATGTAAAATGCAAAATTATAAAAACTTCTAGGAGACAACATAGGAGAAAATCTAGGTGAACTTAGGTTCAACAATGAATTTTTAGACCTATAAAATGACCCATGAAAGGAAAGATTGACAAGTTGTAATATTAATCATTTCTGCTCTGCAAAATACAATGTTAAGAGAAAGTAAAAACAAGCCACATACAGAAAATATATGCAAAACACAATCTGATAAAATGACTTGTGTCTGAAATATACAAGCAGTGGAAACTCAATGATAAGAAAACAAACAAATCAATTTTAAAAATAGGCAGACACCTTCCGAAGAGGAACTAAAAGATGGAGACCAAGCGTATGCAATATGTTCAATATTATGTGACATCGGGGAATTGCAAGTTGGAACAGTTATAATACTAGGCACCTGTTAAAATGAAAAAAAAACGGCCACACCAAATGCTTATGAGGATAGGAACAATAGGAACTTTCATTCATTGCCAATGGGAATGCAAAATTGCAGAGCCACTTTGGAAGACAGTTTGGGAGTCTCTTACAAAGATAAACATTGTTTTACCATACACTATAACAATCACTCTTCAAGCCATTTACCCAATTAAGTTGAAAAGTTATGGCCAGAAAAAATCTGCAAATACACATTTATGGCAGATATGTTCATAATCACCAAGCAATCAAGTTTTCCTTCAATAGGTGAATGGATGAACAAACTGTGGTAGATCCATATAATGGAATATTATGCAGCAAGAGGAGTAAATGAATTATTGAGCACTCAAAAGACATAGAGAAACCCTCAGTGGATATTAATAAGTGAAAGAAATCAATGTGAGAAATCTATATACTATAGAGTTCCAACTACAGGATACTCTGGAAAAGATAAAACTGGAGAAATAGTAGAAAATCCAGTGATTTCCTGGGATTTGAAATAGGGGTGGTGGGAAATGAATGAATACATGAAGGTTAGGGGATTTTTAGGGTGGTGAAGCTATATGATACTGTAATGCTGTACTGACATTGCACATTTGTCAAAACCCATACAACTATACAACAAAAAGAGTCAGCCTAAGGTGTATTATTGACTTTAGTTTATAATAATATATCAATATCACTTAATTAGTTGTAATAAATGTACCATCTTCATGCAAGTTGTTAATTATAGGGGCAACTATTGGGAATGGGAAACTGGTATATGGAAACTCCCTACTATTCCATTTTTTAAATAAATTAAAATAAAAAAATAAAAACATTTTGTATTGAGTGAGTTTGTTTTCTAATAAAATAAAGTATAATAGCTGAGTTGAATTTTGGTTCTTTAATGTATAAATAGTATTGCACATAGGCTCTAACTCAATTTTTCTTTTAGCTATAAGATCAAATTAAGTAGATCTTACTTGATGCTATAGTATTATAACATTAGTGTGTGTGTGTGCATAACAGTATATAGTATTATACAGTATATGCAGCTGAAACATTTCTACTGAGGTACAGGTGATAGAAGTAAGGCATTTGATAGATAGGACTCCATTATTAAGATAGCTATTTATAATGTACATTTTAGGAAACTTCTATTTCAGGAAATCTATTGTTAAGCAACATTATCCTTCCAACTATTTTCATTTGATTTGAAAAGTCATTTTCAAAAATGGAAATGACATATCCCACCAGCAATCTTTTTAAAGTTTTGAGACATTTTTTCTACAATATTGATTTAATAAGGATTAACACATTTCAAAAATTCTTTCAATATTTTCATTGTGAAAGTATTTATTTTTGTTGCTGTAACAACCAGAAACTGATGTGAGAAGACAGATAGTGTTTCTCTTTCTTCACACACAGTACTTTAGATGACAATTACTATTCCAACCTTTAACTACAGAGTTGATATTCTTTTATTAACTGTGATCAAGCTGTATGGAGTTGGGTCAGGCCAAGGAAGACTAACAGTGATGTTAAAATGTTCCCCAGGTCTCCTCCGACCTCACTTCCCCTCTGCTCCTCCATGGCTCACACTATGACATAGTTGGTTCTCATCTCCCCTGGCAATTCTCCATCTGCCCCAATCCTAGTTTTTAAGATTTCATGGCCTCATTTTCTTTGCTTCAAGACTGTGCTTTGAGTTTGAAAAATTACAGATTACATGCTAATTCAGTTTAATACATTAGTAGTTGAAAATAACCTAAACCAAATCTCCATAGGGGGATGTGGATTTTAATAGTGATGTGGAAATACATCTTATCTTAAATAAACTTTGAGTGATAGAAATTTAGTCAGCAGGTCAGGTCAGGTCAGAGAATGTATCACCATGGCAAGGAGGATTTCCTCTAAGCTCACCTAACCATAGACTGCTGTTGGTGTGTCCCGGGGATTAGGAGTGGACTATGTGGGGAGATGGAAGAGAAGCTGTTAACTCTCAGAGTTTTCTCTTAACTGTGTTGAACTTTGTGCTTAGGATTTTGGTTTTTTTTTTTCTTATTCCATCTGACATAATTTTAGCAACTTTGGAACAAATGAGTTCTAAGGTGAATGGAATGAGTTTTTAGGTTGAATAGATACTTTTTTTAGTTACCTGCTAGAACAAATGGATAACGTTGGATATATAGAGCTAGAAAATGCTTTGGGCTAGGTAGAAGGATAAAGAACTCTTTATGCAGAGTCTCAGCTCTAGGGACAAATGCTTTGGGATGTTGTTAGAAATTAAAAATAAGCAGAAGACTTAGAAACAGCCAAACTTATTGCTATACAAAACAAAATTTAATGTAAGCTCTGTTTTGAAGACAGCAGATTTTTTTTAGTACCTTCTACATTCTATCTTCTTAATGCTTGTGTGTTATTTAACATTGTCCTGACAGCCACGGAAGCAATGGACAAAGCAAAAGAAGTGGAATAGATATTAGTGGCAGACAAACTGAACATATCAGAAAGTTTCAAGTGATCACATTTAGAAAAGTTACTGGTAATATAGTCTTGTTCTCTAATGAGAAACTGAGAAATTCTGCAGCCCACACGAGTGACTAATAACCTCAAGCTTTTGCCTTTTGCCTTATACTGTGATGTCATCAACTGCTAAGAATATTCTACTAGCATGATCCTAGAAACTGGGGATGGAAAAGCCTTTTAAGATTCTAGTTTATAAGTTTCATTCGCATCTTTTCATTGTTTTCTTTTCTTCCTCCCTATCAGAGTGTTTATTAGGAAAAAAATGGTTCAAGCTGCATCATTTATCTTTACAGTGCTTTTCATAAAAAGATGTGATCCTGTGTTTTCTTTCCACAGATCCAGGACTACATAGGCAGCTGTATTTTTTGCAAAGACCATCCAATGTAGTAGCCATTGAAGGAAAAGATGCCATCCTGGAGTGCTGTGTTTCTGGCTATCCTCCCCCGAGTTTTACCTGGTTACGAGGAGAGGAAGTCGTCCAACTCAGGTATTACACATTGAAGACTTCTGTGAAGTATATGTCACTGTTTATCTTTCTCATTTGCTAAAGGTACCTAGAAATACTAGGGTTTTTAATGATAATTTATTTCCTCCCACATTCCTTGACATTATACAATATATGGAAGATTTTTATCCACTGGGATAAAGAGATGGAGGACAGAGTCAAAATCCATGAGATCAATTCAGAAAAGAAGTTCAGAAAAACAGTGTTGCTGTTAAAATAACACTGTCCAAAAAATATTCAGCAAAGATACCTTGGAGAATCTCATCCTAAGGAAGTGGTATAGTGAAATATTTATTAAGAAATTAAAATTTTCTGATTTGAAATATATAGCATGTCATTATAGGGTCTGTGAAATTTTTTTCAGGTCCAGTTATACCTTTCATATTCCAGATGTAACAAATATTTAAGATAAAACAAAAGGAGAACATGGCTGGCTTTGAATTAGTAGACGTTCATATTAAAGCGTAGTTAGAAAGTAAACTCTTAATAGAATGGAGCGCTTAGTCTGAAACGTTTTGATTAAATGGATTTCACTTAAGAAATTAATTTTATTGATTTGGAGGTATAGTGTACTCCTTTTTAACACTTCTGTGTTCTATGATGAGAGAGGATCATAGACCATAACTTTCACCTCCCACCTATATTATAACAACACTATATGGTGTGGTGCCACTATACTTCTGAGAATATGAAAGCATGTGAGAAATCTGTTTGTAGCTTTAGCATGTCAAATGTGTTCTCTGAATGTAGCCAGATATTCCTGGTACACAATGAAATGTGGCTTTGTACAAAGATTACTAAATTGGATGTCAGGACACAAGACATTGCCTTCCACTGTGGGGAATCACTTTTCTGGTACTTGTGGTCCTCAAATCCAAAATAAGAGAATTGGGCCAGATTATCTGTAAATTTCTTTTCAGTATTAAGCTTGGTTCCAAGTTTAATCTGTTTAATTTCTTTGATCACTGCCTTCCAGTGGGATTGGTTTACCTTGAATCGATTTTTGATCAATAAATGTGATGTTATCAAAGCCTCATAAAATAGACTCTCTTTCTAATTTGATAACTTGATCTTTTGTGGAGTTTATTTAAACCTCTGAGTACATTGCCTGGTATACACCTAAATATCCCTACATTAATCTGCTCTCTAATTTTATATGCCTATGTCTTTCAGGTCCAAAAAGTATTCTTTACTGGGTGGAAGCAATCTGCTTATCTCCAATGTGACAGATGATGATAGTGGAACTTACACCTGTGTTGTTACATATAAAAATGAGAATATTAGTGCCTCTGCAGAGCTCACGGTCTTGGGTAAGTCAATGGCTCAAGATTCATTTACACTGCCCTTTTCAAAATGCGTCACTGTGACACTTTAAATGCTTATTCCTGAATTACCTCTTGTGCTTATTAGTATGAAATTATGAAGTCCCAGTGTTTCACACATGTCCTTTCTCTACTTTGATTAATTGCATAGGGATTAAATGCAGTGTTTGAATACTTGCTCATTGACTAAAATCCAGATGCATCACTCTTTAGTCCAATTATTCCAATGATACAACTGAAACCTATGGAAAATTATTAATAAACAAATGTCTTAAGCAGCAAAAGAGTTAGATATAAAAGGGGAGATTCCCAAATATTTTATCTGGGGAAAGTAAATGAAGGGATGAATGAGAGAAATTGTATAAACAATATGCACTGGAGTGGAAAAGTCAGATATCACTTGAAATGACAGGGTCCCTGACATTAAATTCAAATGTCTTGGTAAGATTGTTTTGTTAATATGGAAATACTGTAGATGTGATGTTGAAAGTGAACCATTAAAATCAAATGCATCTAAGGAAAATTTTCATAGAAAGAATCTTTAAAGAAATTTAAGAGGCACGGATGTTACATATTATTCAGAAAGGTAGGGTTACCTCATACCATTGCAAATTAATAATTGTTATATAGGGTACATACTCAAACACCTCTTTTATCATCTACCCCAGATTGTTTTTAGTCAGTTTCATTTGAATCATGTAATTTGGAGAAAGTGCTTTACCATTTGAATTCCAATTGCTTTTTCCTGTAACAACAGCAAAAATTGTTTACCAGTCTTTGGATTTTTGCCTCTGGAATAAATCTTTTTACCTTGTAAAAAGCCTAGGAAAAATCATAGACTTTTTAAAAGTTATTCAGTAGAAATGAAAAGATATGGTATGCCTAGTGCATCTGCTAACCTGCATCATAATATTATTCTATCCATTTTACTTTTTGGCTTTAAAGTTTATTCAGAAAGTGCTTTCATCTTCAGATAGGGTAATGATGTATGTGAGAGTGAGACAATGGAGTTGTTTGTTCTTTGATCAAACTGTAAATATTAAACTAAGAATAAGCAAAGGACTTTAATTCTTTGGTTTTAGAGATAGCATTATTCTAACTGAAACATCAGCTTGTCTTTAAAATGGTAGCAATTTAATGTAGTCATTTCATGTGGAAGTTTTTTGGTGAAACAAAGAACTTTTACATTTGTAACATCAAAGTATAGCAACACATGATGGCTACATAGAAATTATATTGTAATATATACTGCTGATCATAAGGCAAATGCAGTCATAGAATTTATAATGATTATAGGTAAACTTATAATTGCAAATATATGAGATCAGATTTTATATCAAATTAATGCACAGTATTTAGACACATGATGCTTCATATTGATACCTAAGCCAAATGCATATAAATTAGGATTTCTGAGAAATTAGCCAAAAAATATATGTAGGGTCATACATATATACACACACACTGACATTCATAGCTTCTTCTTTTGTGTGTTCCTGTGTATATGTGTATGTTCTCCAGTTCTATATTGTTGAGCATTATCTTGTTTCCATGTTCTATTTAAACACCCATACACACACACACACACACACACACACACACACACACCCCAACACCAAAAACACTTTGATGATTATTCTTCTGTATCTTTGTCAGTTATTTGCTTATATCCTAAGGAAAATTATCACAAAAAATGCTCATACCCACACCAGCAGTGCAAGAATTGCCTGTCTCTGAAAGAATACATTTCTCTCCATGCCCCAATATTTGCCTAAAAACTTTATAAAATGGAGTCTCTTTGTTTTAATTTGCATCCTTATTAAATTTGTTTCTTTTTATAGTTTTACTGGACATTTGCATTTTGCATTTTGTGAGTTACCTATCAATCTTTTTGACCTTCATATATTTATTTTTTTTAATTTTTTTTAATGTTTTTATTTATTTTTGAGACAGAGAGAGACAGAGCATGAATGGGGGAGGGGCAGAGAGAGAGGGAGACACAGAATCGGAAGCAGGCTCAGGCTCTGAGCCATCAGCCCAGAGCCCGACGCGGGGCTCGAACTCACGGACCGCAAGATCGTGACCTGAGCTGAAGTCGGATGCTTAACCGACTGAGCCACCCGGGCGCCCCGACCTTTATATATTTATTAAAATATTCGTCTTTATTTTGTTTATTTGCAGGAACTCTTTATATAGGAAGAAGAGTAACTGTGCTGTGTAGTTTCTTTGTGTATATATTTTGTTGTTTCTGTTTTTTGTTTTTATTTTACATTTTATATAGGGTATCACATAGTTTTCTTTATGGATGCTGGCTTTGTTGCTATTAGACTCAAATTTTATTCTAAATAAATCACTCTAGTTCCAAAAATCTCATTATAGATTACATGTTGAATCTATAAATTAGAAGCATTATTAATTTAAAAATTGCAGTTGTGTTTATGTCTTGGGAATTTTTTTTTTTTTAATTTTCTTGGTAATGGGCATTCGTTTTAAATGTTTATTTATTCTGAAAGAGAGAGAACGTGAATGGGGAAAGGGCAGAGAGAGGGGGAGAGAGAGAATCCCAAGCATGCACACTGTCAGAGCATGACATGGGGCTTGATCTCATGAACCATGAGATTATGACCTGAGATAAAATCAAGAGTCAGACGCTTAACCGATGAGCCATCCAGATGCCCCAGGGTATAATTTTAAAGATCTCCCAAGACCTAGTATGATCTGTAACTATTATAGAAGGCATGCCTTAATTCAGGAGATAATCATAATTCTATTTAACTCATCTACCCAGGCTAAAAATAAATGTTGATATAATAAAACCTTTGATATAGTCATTGACTATTCTGATACAAAGTCAAGCTCATGCTGCAGGACTAAGTTTATATAGAAAATGTAATTTATTACTTTCCTTTTTTAAGTAAAAGATGAAAAGAAATGAACTTCATTATCAGTGTTATCCAAATAGTTTTCATCAGTTTTAAGAATTTAACCATAATGTAAATTATTCACAAGATAAAATCCTGCAAGAAATCCAAGCTTGTGCTTATAAGCTTTAATAATGCATTTTATCAGGCTTTTGTTTTGCCTTTCAAATCATGGTTCTTTTTTGCACTTAGACTGGCTTTGAATGTGAACCTGCTTGAACTAAGACTATTTAAGTATGATATCATTTTGTACACAACAAGAGAAATTCTGTGGTCTTCCTCAAGAGTTTCAGAGTTAATAAACATTAAATATATTCAAAGAATTTACACTATAAAGTGGATATTGAAAGTTCCATAATAGGGGGGCCTGGGTGGCTCAGTCAGTTAAGTCTTGGACTTCAGCTCAGGTCATGATCTCACAGTTTGGGGGTTTGAGCCCTGCATCAGGCTCTGCACTGAAAGCATAGAACCTGCTTTGGATTCTCTGTTTCCCTCTCTCTCTCTCTCTGCCCCTCCCTGGCTTGTGCACTCTCCATATCTCTCTCTCTCTCTCTCAAAAATAAAAAATAAACAGTTTTTAAAGAGTTCCATAATAGTTAAACCTCTTGGGGAAATCTGTATTAGACAGGATTAAGGACAACTTATTTAAAGTGCATATGAATAAATTAAATAAATAAATAAATAAATAAATAAATAAATTCCTAATAATAACCATTTATGTTAATGTTTATGATCTATTAGAATATTCATCAATTAGCATTGGTGGATGCATTTTGAGCACATGGACTGCACTAGGTTCTGGGAAACCTACAAAAGGTTTGAGGTCTGGCTTCATTAGGTTTGTAGTGTAATTACAGATTCATACAATTAATTGCCCTAATTGCCCCCAGTGAATTGCCTGCCTTTTGAGTATATTTTTTTTCCCTCAATTTTGTATGTTTACATGGAATCTGTGAAGATATGAAGAGTTGATAGTCTTTGCTCTCATAAAAGACAGGACCTGAGTAAGTGGTGGTGGGCAAAGTCTTAAAAAGGAGATTGCAGAGGGAGGAATTCTGAACAGTGTTATATTCTGTTTAAAGCACTAGTGCTATGATTATTTTTTTAAACTTTGTTTTTCAGAAAAGAACTAAAGAATGGTATTCTGTCCATTATTATTTCCCATATAACTAGCTTTCTGGCTCAAGAATTATAATCACCCTTAATAAACATTCAGGAGATTTGCCTGATTTATTTTCTAAGCTTTACCTTAGGCCTAGATTGATTCAATATCTGAATCAATGCAGAAATGCATACTTTAAAAAGATATGGGATCTTTAACCAATGAAGTGTCTGGCCTTGGACAAACCCTGTGCATTGTCCATATACATGCAGAAGGAGATGGGTGGAAAATTCACTCTTGAGGAGAAGCCATGGGATCTAACATTGGTGACAAAATGGAAACAGTCTTGAGCTTTCTCAAAAGGATTCTAGAATTCTTTTTAAAGCTGTTTGCAGCAATATAAACAATATACACTATTAAAAGTTGACCTTTGTGTACAGGTTTTCTCAATTATTTGCCTTATCAACTTTCTAGGGAAATGTTGGTTAGAATTAGCATAATCTGGCTTTGTAGAACATAAAAAAGTCTATTAGATCAGTCCTTTGCACATAATTGATAACCTGTAACCAGATCTAAGAGTTCTCATATCCTCTTCCCTGCCACTGTAAGTAACACATATCACTCCATGTGGTACTTGACTTTATACTTCTCCCAAGAAAACACCTCTGAAAAGAAATCCTTTGGGGCAGGTGTTTTGCCTGCCTAAGACTTTTGCTTTGGGGACAGAAACCCATGGGTTCATCCTCTAGGAATGTGTTCAGAATGGTTCTCTACTGACATACAGCATGCTAAGCTCACACAGATATGTTCTTTTTTTTTTTTAAATTTTTTAAATGTTTATTTATTTTTGAGAGAGAGAGAGACAGACTGTGAGCAGGGGAGGGGCAGAGAGAGGAGGAGACACAAAATCTGAAGTAGCTCCAGGCTCTGAGTTGTCAGCACAAATCCCCAGACATGGGGCTTGA